GGTCAGTCAACTGAGTCACTACCTTAACCTTAGATGTGGACTTTAGAAGCCACGATTAGTTGGCCTGCTTCCCCATTGGCTAAAACACCCGGAGCTCGTTCATTGGGTCATTTCTCCCATTGGCTAACCACTATCCAATCAGTAAAAAGAGCCAATATTAATTTCACTGCGCTTCAATGATGCATTAAGGCAATTAAGGGGAAGAATAAAGCCAACATCAAGAAAAATGTCTGACAATAAATAATAAAGCAATTATGTACAGTTATAAGGCGGTCAAGTCGCACTTGTGGAACAGCAATAAGTGCGCGAATGGTTACTGGGATGGTATGGATGAAGGCAAACTAACATAATGAACTGAGGGACGACAGCATTCGCGGATTTCTCTAACAACTCGTCGAAGAAGGAGCTAAAAGGTTGAAACAGTGTCAAATCTCTACTCCATTAATCATAGGTATACCATCTTCGAGAGCGCCACACATCACGGGCGGCAAAAGTATTCATGAACTGTGACGTTTATGGGCGAACAAAAGCAGCGAACTTTGATTTAAAACAAGGCGATTGCCAACAACAAAACAAGAAGCTAATGTCTCACCAAAATTGCAACTCCAAGAAATGCGATGAGCATTATAAAAACAACAGCCCAGCCATAGTCAACGAGTAATCCAACGACGAAAGGACCAACAGCAGATCCTGTGAAAAAAGTACCGGATTGGCAGGGTAAGAGTCGTATTTGCGATGGCAGTGACCCCAAAACTAAGCCTTAAGCAAGTGCTCCTACAACATCTCCTGCTGCCAAAAAGGCTGTCTTCCCTCAGCATACTCAGGTTGCCATTGCGTCTGACCAGCCTATAAGCCCATTAGCGCCGAGACGATTAAGCTCTCCATCATCAGATGGTTCCAACACGAGCGATTTTCAACACAGTTAAGCGAACCCAAAATAAGATGCTAAGAGTTTACCTGAACAAGTCTGTTAGAAAAATGTATTATATCGTGCAAAAACAGATGTGCTCCTAGCACCTGAAGGGTTGTCTCGTCGATCCCTACTGTGAAGACAACTAGTACGCCATCATCGTCATTCAAAACCACTAAAAATAATTTCACGCGAATTTCTGAGCATCTTCTTTCAATGCTACTGGTTTCGAATTTTATAAAAACGTGCCAAACCTCTATTTAAAAAAAACGGTTAAATACCTATTGAACCAGTGCCATCAATAATGGCAACAACGGTCGATAGAGCTTTGGCGTTACCGGCCAGGGAATGGTGAGTTCCAAGGTCAGCAGATATGACGGTGGTAATGAGTGAATAGGGGCCCACAATCAAGAATCCCAGGATCATCAGCATGCCTAAAATCCAAAACAAAATATAAGTGCTACTATAAAATAAAAGTAGTTGAAATTAATAGCTTTCTGGTATGAACAGCTCATCACAAAAGAACTGTAACTTGGAGGACAAGACTACCAAGCTAAAGGCTTTCCGGAAGTCCAAGATGTAGAAGTTAACAATTATATTCCATGAACTTGTTAAGGCCCAAAAAATTCTCCTACTGCATGGAGCCAAGCAGAGGTCAGGCCAACGGGGAGCATTTCACTCGAAAATGATAACTTTTGGGAAGAACATGACCTCCACACCTAGCACAGGTTTACCAACAGAGGCCACTCCGTGTTTATGGCACACTTATCCATATCACCCAGCTGCCACATTCTAACGACTGTCAGGCAAAAGTGTCTGTAAAAACAAACTCTGACACCAAGGCATACTCAGTTACTGCCGTTTTTCTCTCATCTTCACCATTTCCATGCGTCACAAAGTCCTAACAAGTTCGATTTACGCTAATGAGAAGAGAAGAACTTACAGATGCAAACGGGGAAGGAGAAGTCTCCAACGAGGAAGTACACGTAAAGCTAA